GCCCTGGGAGGGGAGTGTTGGCGACATTTAAGAGGGGCCATGTTTAGCGTCCAAAATTGTCGGGGATTAGTCGGGCTTTGGCCCGGACACCCTTACAAAAAAAATCAAGAGAAAGAAATAGCAACTCTCTCTCACCTCTCACTTGGGGTAGTGGACATGGTGTTGAGAGCATTTAGCCAATCGAGAGGGACAACAGCACACTACAAAACAAAGGAGTATCATCGACGGGTAAAACTGTACGAAATTTGTTGCTAAATGTGTGATACATCGGTTATATGTTGGTAAAAAGTTGTCGGAAGATGCACCATGGGAAAAGGCATCACCGACGGATATTACCGATGGATACCATTTCCAATGGGTTTACCGACGAACAAAACTGTCGCTAAATGTGTGATCCGTCGGTAATATGTTGGTAAAAAGTCGTCGGAAGATGCACCGTTGGAAAAGGCATCACCGACGGATATTACCGATGGATACCATTTCCATACGGATTTACCAGCGGACTTAACGGATTATCAATGGCTATCATCTCCGACGGATTACCAATGGCCTATATAACTGACGGATTACCGACGGCTTTTCAACATATATTAAAAAGATAAATAAACAAATATTCCGATGGTTTATTTATCTATTAATTTTTTTACTTTTTAATACAATTCGTCGATAATCCGTTACAAATCCGTTGGTAATCATTTTTGTCAGTTATATCCATCAATAATACTCAATTTTCTAGTAGTGGCAACATTGTTTGACAAACCGTTGCCTTTGACAAGGTCGTTGGCAGGAGGGGATTTAAGAGAAGGGGGTAGGCCAACAAATCTAATCAAATCAAATCAGCTGCATGTTAAAAAAAATTACCTAAAATTATAAAGTGTCCTCAACAAATGAAAAAAAGGGGGCCCCAAAACCGATTGCTTTCTTGATTAATATTGTTTTATCTAAGTTAATTATTACTTTATTTTATATTATGGTCCCTACGATAGATTTTCTGGATCCATCATCGGTCGTTAGCAGCAGCCGCCCTAGTCGAGTTAGTTGCTATAGACAGAAAGCAACCGATGTTGCAGAGAATGAAAGCGGGAGCAAAATCGGGGAGACGAAAGTCACCGACGGTGAAGGGTCCGTGGTGGGTGGCAAATCTGTAATAAAAAACTGTCGGGACCAAAAACGAAAAACTCAAAAACACACAGACCAACAATGTAATTTACTAAAATAAATTTAAACCAAGGGACCATCCTTAAATGCCAACTTTGAAAAACAATCGCTACAATCTTGAAAATATTTCGTATTCGTATTTCCATGCAATGAATATTTCGCATTAATTTTTCACAATTTTTTTATGTTATTTTGATTGATTAATAAGAACTTGGGTTCATTTTTTGTTATCATTTGTATTTGATACCATTACAGTTTTGTCTGACTGTTATATCACAAGATCCAATGAAATTAATCGAAATACACGCAAACTAGTCTAATTGAATTGTAAAATCCTCAAACGATATGTATTGGGTCGGAGTTGGGCCAATCCATGTAAACCCAACCCAAATCTGTTATAAATCATTCCCCCTTTTAGTTTTTTTACACGGAATTCCATCTCATGTTTCAGTATCCTCGTTTGTATCTCTCATTTTTCCTCTTCCCTCCAGAACTTCACTTCGGCCATAGCCGCCCTCCATTGATGTTTCCGTTTCACCCATCTCCGATTTTCTCTTTCGTTTCCTGGATCTCGCCCCAATCGCAGTGGTGATTGCATGTGCCTTTTATGAGAGATTTAAATATATATAACCTTAAAATGAGATTTTTATTAAATCCATAACCTCGTGACGTATTAAAGAAAATGGATTCACACTCCACAAATCATAGATTTAACTCAAATAAGGGGAAAAAAATCAAAGGAGATGTGGCTTCATCCAGCTATTTGTTATAAGCCCATTTGAGCCATCAATACATACCTGAACTGAACCACATTGTTTGAACATCTTATTTGGAAAAGAGCTCAAAGAGCTACTCAAATCATGTGGTTACAGTAGCAAAGCTACAACAACACATGAAAGATTGTCAAACAAATCAATTAATTATCTTTCAAGTCTTGTTTTTATCTCTTTCTATTGTCATTAATAGATCTAGATCTTTCTATTTTTCAATCCATAATACATAGGTGATTCGGTTTGATACCCATAAATTCTAATTGGATATTTGCTACCAGCTTTTTCAGTTGCTATTGGTTTTATAGCAACTTCAAACTACATATATGAAAACTTATCATTTTGTTCGAATTTTAGGTGACATTTTACATTTGCAAGTAATACATATCATATTTAAGGGTTTTACATATCATATTTAAGGGTTTTTAATTGCAGGGAATAGAACTTGTAATACTCATTCAAATACCCAAACAAAAAAAGTTGGTACTATCATCGTACACGACTTCCAATACATATCAAACAAATTTGCATACTTAATACAATACTACCAACCAACTGAAATTGGTATCAATTTAATCAGTACAATTGATACACATGTTTGCTAGTACAAAAATGATCACCCCTAATAATAATACATGTAGAAGTTGGATTGATAAGATGCTCGATCAATATCCATTGATTTATAGCAGACTGTGTGATGGTTATGTAACAAGTTGTTTGTCGTTATGATGCTAAATTGGTACTAACACATACGGGTTGAGTTAGGTCGCGTTAGGATTTCTCAACCAACATTAGGTCTTGCTTGTTTTTGAAAGAAACAACTCTCAATGCCCTCTAAAGTCCTATTCAGGAAGAGGTCTACCATTTTAGACTTTTTGTTTTTTTTTTATCAGAATAAGAATCGAGAAGCTCTGACTACCACGATCTGAAATGATAAGAGATAAACCCTCCTCTTATTTAGCCCTTATCTCCTTTCAAAGAAAGCCAGAATCGGATATGTGAAAACCTAATTCAATCGAGTTCACCTCTCTCTCAATCGATGCCAAATTAGCACCACCTCTTATCAATAAAAAGTGAAAATAAAACTTTAAACTATAGCACCTCTTAAAAAACAAACAAACACCTTAATTGAGATGGGTTGTTCAAATATCTTCCAACCGACCAACTTGACCTGTATACAACCCTAGTATTCACAAGTACAGATTTATAATAGGAACTCTTTCTCGTACAAATAGCATTCTTGCATATTTCAATGATCCTCAATGACTCCACTTTAGCAAAATGTCTACCTCCAAATATGTTGTCGATGTCTCGATGAAGTAAAAAGGGAACTTTTATTTCTCGTAAAAACACTAACCCTACTCGGTTTATCTTGTTTTGTTCCAAAGCTATTTACAATGCACAAATTGAAACAAGTGAAATTAAAGGGTACTACTTAAATGCTCTTTACTCCAAAATTCATGGGTTAATTTCAGGTAATTGACATCCTCACGGAATATAGAATTTAATCACAATGTTTTGTTTTTAACGCTGAAATCCGTTTGAGATATCGATAAGTGAGCTATGCACCCTTTCAAAGGTGGATGCTTCTATATACGAAAAAGAGTAAAATGTATCAAAATGCAACAAAATTTTAGTTCCATTTTTGTTCAGTACAACGAGTGATGACATGAACACATGTTCACGAAAGATGCAAGTGTTGTGTAGAAGAGGCTTACAACTAACGTATCCATGTCATCAAATGTTACTTGATCAGCATGTTACAAGTTAAAATTAGTACAAAATAAGTATGCTACATTGATTGAGAAAATAATTACTTATCACATTAAATAAGAACTATGACAACGTTGTTGCATTTTGATGCATTTTACCCTATAACAACCATGCTTAGAAAACAAGTACTTTCACTATATTGCCATTTTCAAAAACATACATCCAAAAGCCATGTTCAAAGATTTATAGTTTGAAATTTTATATTTTAAAAAACATACTTTTAGCAGGCACATTTTAAAAATTGCCTTAAATGAACACTTTTCGAAAACTATATATCTTCAAATCAATCTTTTTCAAACTATAGACCATTAAATATGCATTTAAAAAGCATGTTGTTCAAAATGACAATAGAATGGAAGTATTCAAAAGAAGATGCACCTAAAGAGTTGGTTAGGACATGGCTCGCGTCCTTTTAAACCTAATTGACCGTCTATCCCTAACCAGTCCAAGATCGAACCTACTCCTTGGCTAAAAGTTTCAGGCAGGCTGCATTATTCTTGAGACCACGTGACTGGAATGAAGAAGCCACTTACCAAAGGATCATTGGCCTAGCAGTATCCGGTGTCTGGGTTATTGGTAGAGTCTAACCTCCATGAAGTCAAAGGTTCAAACCTCACCAAAAGTGAAAAGTTGGGCATCAGTATTTGGAGTATATATTATACATACTTCAACAAGAAACTGCTTTCCATCAATAGCTTCCAAGAAAACCGGAAGGTAGAGATGGCAAACTGGTTTTCAACCCATTAACCGGTTTGCTAGGTAAACCAAACCACATGAAACCGACCTGGTAATCCCATTTAAAAGTAGAGCCGCGGTGAAATGTACACATATCTGATCTCTAACTCAAAAGAGTATTAAGTGTAGAACAGTTATTTCCATGAATACTTGAAGCTTGTGCAAGAGTATGAGCAAACATGTAGAAGAAACAAGAACTGGCACATGCTTGATCCATAGAAGAAGAGAAATAAGTAAAGGTATAGCAAGTCAAAACACAGAGCAATGCAAGAACATATCCCTAACCTAAACTGCCAGCCCTCTACCCCCTCTTTCCTCTTTTCCCAACCATGCTAGCTACATCTAGTCTGCACCCTAAACTGTGACAATACAAAATGGACCCTTTGAATAGATTCCATAGACAAGTTGAGACCAAAGATGTCAAATAACAGTTACCAGAAAATAAAAAAAGAAAAGGGTTGCATATTATGCTACATACCTGAGAGGCTGACCACTTTGTTTCTTTCAACTGTACATAACATCGACCACAGTCGCTCAAACTTCACTTGGTGAGCTTTACCAGCTGATACTAAATCTGCTGCTAATGATGTTAACATTTCTATCTCAAAGAGAACATGATCAATAAACCAAAACTACTTCAAACCTAACAGACCTGGTATATCCAGGAGGTAGGGTCTTGGGAGGTAAAAACTACTTGACCAAATAGAAATGGCCCTTTTTTAGCATTATTTGAAATCTGTTAAGCTCAAGTCTCCCAAGGGTCCACAGTAGTTTGAATGTGCCAAATAAAGAATTTTCACATGGTTAACTAAAGGGATTTTGGCTACATCTAATTGCCAACAAAATAACATCTAAACACAAAATATTTAGATTTCAGTTAGGGTATTACAAGGTAACCTGTTCAAATGCTGATGCAGGCAGACTAGCAGGATCAAGTTCGTAGGACCCCTTTGGAACACCTTCTCTTTCTACTCCACTCATTCTACAAGATGGAACCATGTGGGAGAATCTGTATTTATCGCTCGCTGGTATTAACAACCCTCCATCCTCTTTCGCATTAAAAAGACATGTGAAACCCTTCACCTTCTCCAAGTATGAAACACGGACACCAAGATCATCGGCATAATCGGATAAGATTTCCACAAACTCGTATTCATAGATTCTCGTACCGTCACAGGACCATTTTATAGACCAGTTCCGGAAAAGGGCCCATGTCTCCCCTTTTCTTGGAAATATGTTGAACATCCCTTTTTTAGCATCTTCCCATGTAACCAAGTGTGAGAACATTGGAAGATCTTCAGCCATGTCGTTTTTCCCGCGTTTAAACCTGCCACAAGAAACCGGCAACTCCTCTTCCACCCATCCTTTTTCATCTGTGTTTCCAGGAACAGCTTTTAACCATGTTATTTGCAGATTAAACTCTGGAGAAGATACAACTCTTCGGATGTAAGCATAGAATCTGGGCATAGCATCATCGTTATCATATACAGCCCATATCTGCCCTGCTGCAAAGCTCTCTTCTTTTCGTTCTTTCTCAAAGTCGCTAAACTCTGGATCAGGACACTCATAAACTTCTGGTTCACGTTCTTCTTCATTATCACTCAATTTATCAACTAAATTAGGCTTGGAATAAGATTCTTCGTTATTTTGTTGTGTTTCTTTGACCACTTTGGTCACCTCGGCCTTCCAGAATGTATCTTCCACAGATGGGTCCTTCTTTGCTTGATTTGAGTGAGTAGCATCATCATCATTCTCATTTAGATTTTCTTTGTAAGATACGTTTCTTTTTGGACGTGAAGATCTCCGAGGCTGTTCACCAAAATCCTCATTAGCTGGATTCTTATCGACATTTTTGGGCACAAATTTATTCTCCAATACAGTGCTGCTTTCGTTCTCGGAGCTATCACTGTGTTCTTCTACATCTTCTTCCTCAGATTCAGAGCTGCTTTCATCGTCGGAACTTTCACTGCTAGATTCTTCAACCTTCTTTTTCCTTTTTCTATTCACATTTCCATGTGCCTTGGAAGGTTCTTTTTCTTGTCCTCCAAAGACTGGTTTTGAAGTGAAATTACTATTATGGGTACCATCTGTTCCTTTAGAAGGAGCTTTGTTCTGTTGGGGAAACACAGGAACTTGGTGGCTTTGTGCAGCACCTTGGACGTTTAATTCATATGCAGTGAAGGACTTCTTGCAACTTTGACAGTGAATAACTTTGTTAAGAACATCATCTCGATAGAATTGATACCTAACCGAACAGAAAGGACAAACTGTCCAGAAAGTTGATCGATTCCCAGTTTGTCCCCGCTGTTGTGAGAACTGAAAATTTGCAGAACGCCCTCCTGTAAAATTGTTCTCACTAACAGAATGACCTTGTGCAAAATTGCTTTGATTCCAAGGATGTTGGTGGACATTTGATTGTCTGCTTGGTTGTTTTGGGATCCAACTTGGTGTTGAGACATTCCCAAAAGCTCTACGCTTGCTATCATGCATCATTCTCTTATCACGATCCAAAAGCACTCTCTGAGCTTCACCAATTAGTTTAAAGGCATCAGCAGAACCCGAAAACTTGTTCTTATCAGGATGAAGTACAAGAGCTAACTTCCGGTATTGCTTCTTAATTGCCAAATCATCAGCAGTAGTCTCAATTTTGAGAATACCGTACCAGTCTTTGTCCGAACCGAAAGACCTCTTTTCAGCAGAGCAATGTACTTCACATACCAAAATCATTTGCGATATGTTTTCTAGTTCAGGATAAAGCTTTTGGGCTTTGACTGCAATCTTTAGAGCCCCAGAGAAGTCCTTGTTCTCCATCTTCTTCTCTGCCATCTGCTTGGCCCTCAACGCTTCTTCTCTGTTGCAATCCATCACCGAGGAAGGCTTGAAATAAGACTTCAATCACCTCCACTTATTCAAAAAAGTAGCCAAAACTGCATTTTACATGTTAAAATGCACTCAAGTAGTCCTGCAAATGTATTAGCAATAGCAGTGTGAGTAAGCAAGTGACAGTAAGCGGAGTTTTAGGGAGCAAGAGCGAATGGAAAATGAACCTGCCTAAAGCAGACCCATACCCTACAAATAAGATAGGCCAGCTGTTGAAGCAGAAAGCCATATATCAGACTTAAAGACCTAGATCTACCAACAGTCAAGATGGAAGCCATAAGAAATAAATGGTGTTTTTAGCCGTCCAAAAAATTTCCAAATTATGAAATACTACAGGTACAATATAACTGTAGAATTAGTTGAAATACCCAATATGAGTGTGCTTGCTGAATTAATTTAAGAATGCCTATGTTGCTAGATAACTGAAAAAACAAAAACAGGAGATGGTAAGGAAACCTACCACAAGAAAAAAAATGTTCATTCATAAAATCTACAGTAGGAAGATTCGAACAACCATTTCTAGACCCCCTAGTTTATTCTTCCCAAGCAGAATTGAATTCACTCAGAATCTTCAAAATGAAGTTAACTTCAGGATTCCATGTCAGTGTACAAAAAGTGACAGACGGCTTCTTAAATGTGAGCTTTTACCATTAGAATTTGTGTTAATTGTGAGCAGCATGTAGGAAACATGCGATGTGCACAGGCACACACGAATATAATATATTGATAAATGTGTTGTGTGTATTATAAGTATATATATACACATGCACATTTACATGTTCTCAACGCTTGTAACTTTTTAACATGACCAGCTTGATACACAGCAAAATACTTTGAATGTTTGCATTAGTGGAATGGTCACAAAAGGGTTCTAGCTTTCGAGAGACTAGATCTCTCCCAGGCTCCCGCCCAATTTGGTTTTAGTAAAATGAATGCCTCACTCCACTACTTTCTGTTGTATTTAATAGCCCCCACTCTCCCGACTAACTATGCCTTTTGACCAAAATGCCCTCCCTTAGAACTTATTCCATATACCCTTATTGTATGTATTTATATCCCTTCTACTTCTTACTTTTACGTAGATATGTGAATCTGACAGTAGACTGCCAAGGTATAATAATACCAGCCCCCCAACTCTCACCTTCTCCTCAGGGCATGTCAAGTTTTTTAAGCTGGTTATATAAATAAGTGATTACAGTCGTTATATATCATATTAGGTTCTTTTAAATAATTTCATTTATTTGAATCATGTTAATTCTATATAACATAATGTAGCAACCAAAAAAGAGTGACAGTTTCATAATGACATAAAAAGAGTATGTTAGCTCTCAATGGGTTTGGCATGGTTTTGCATTTGATGTGGTGTTAAAGAGTCACCGAGTCAGTTGTGCAGCTACAGCTTTTCAACTCGGTAGCAATCAGGCCAACAAACTTATCAGGGCAAACACATATACAACTCAGAGGGCTGTAGTCACTACCTCATGGTTCAAGATACAAAACCCACAAAAGAATAACATAATTGCTTAAGAAAACAAAACCACATCTAGCCATGGAAATGAGATAAGCCAACTAAAGAATGACAAAAGCACTACAAAGAGCCGCAATTACTACCTCATATGACCCTGTCAGATTTTGTCATTGAACGAGTTGGTTGAACTAGAGGCTGCGTTGAAGTTCCAGCTGCGAAAAAGGTGCCATGACACCGCTTACAAATTTTTGCACTAGTCTATAAACATTAGAAAAAAGATCTTATTATTTGTCTCTCATGCGGCATTCTGGCTTGGGTTTTCAGCACATTAACAAATGACTCCAAATCTGGCAAGAGATCAATAAAATTTCAAAGAACCTAAATACACACAATTATATCGTCATGAAATATTTTATCTTGTCTACTTCAACAAGACATTTAGTCCGTCATTTTAGTGAAGCAATTGCAGCTTGGATATAAGTGATAAAGAAAGCATTTGATTACAAGCCATGCTGTTAATCGCACCGCTATAGCGGTGCAATAGCAGCGCTATTGCGGTTAGCGGTCATGAGACAAATAGTGGGTCCACGGTTAGCGGTGCTATTGACTGCTAAATGACCGCATTTTGAATGCAAAAAAGCAGCCTCATAACCACTATTTGTAGATAGGTAGTTTTGTTGTTAAAAGTAATTTTCTGGGCTGCTATTGACTGCTAAATGACCACATTTGGAATGCAAAAAAGCAGCCGCATAACCGCTATTTGTAGATAGGTAGTTTTGGTGTTAAAAAAGTAATTATTTAGCACCGTTTTATTTTAGTCCAACGATATCAAGGCTTCATCATTCTTATTTTTTTGGACTGAGACACCATTATTTTTATTTTATTTTTAACTTGACCACCATTATTCTAATTTTTTTGGATTCGGCACCATCACTTTGACCTCTTGATTTGAATAAATGTATTCACATTGTTCAGTTATTTTTATTTGAACTAGGCATCATTATCGGTATATATTTTTTATTGAATACATAAAATATGTTGAGTGATGTATGCATATATATATAGTTCTAATTATTATATGAACCACTATTTCTAAACCGCTATACCATCACGATAATCGTTATTTCAGCTCATGGTCCTGACCGCGATTTCATATACCGTTGTAACAGCATAGATTAGAAGATGTACACTACTAAAGTAAAACAAAATGTATATGAAGGGCAAGTTTGTTAACAAACAACCTTACATGCCTCTTAGGTTTCTTTCCCTTTTTTCCATTCTATCAAAAAACTAGGAGTCTGGGATAGACAGACAACAAAGCAAGTATGGCCTACTCCATAGTTGCCAATCATAAGTTCATTAACAAGACAGCAGGTCCATTTATATATATTAAGCTTAAAATAACACTGTTTCATCATCAAAAAAAATAACTAGAAATAATTGCTTCTGCATATTCTCTATATGTTCTCCCTTCATGTCTTGTATTCTTCTAGGGACCATGGTTGAATTTGTCCAGCCCTCCAGCAAGGGAGCCAACAAACAAATTGTTTATGTTCCTATTTTGTTTATTACAATAGTCATCTACCGCTTAACTCCCATTGTTTCTTCCAATATTTATATACCGTTTAAATCCCATTCTGTTTTTCCAACAGTCATCTACTGTTTTATATCCCATCCTTTCTTCCAATAGTCATCTACCTTCTAAATCCCACAACTCAGTGGATCCATTGTCCAGTTATATTCTATGTTATCCTACTCAAAAGCATGCCTATGCCCACCAAAAGAATTAATTGAATGAGACTCAAATTCACACTAGCCGTTGCCAATGGCAAGCTAAGTATCTAAGCCTGAGGCACGCTCTGGGGGTTTCATCTAGAGAAGACAAAGCTCATATCAAAAGACGTGCACTTCCTTTGCTTTATCATTAAGTACAAATCAAGAACCCTTTTAAGGTAGACTTTTCAATTAATAGCCTTATTACATTTATCCAGTTATCAACACATATTTTCGTTTTAGTCAAACACATATTTTCGTTTTAGTCAAACACAAATTTTCTCCTAGTCTGAGACAAAAAAGGAAGTCTTATGGAGACTCAAAAACCTGTTGAGCTAAAGATCATCCACCCAAGATGGTGGAAACAAAAAAACCCATGTACCGAACTACTTAAAATTAGAATAAAACGGTCAATCAAAAATTCTGAATAAATAGAATTGGATAAATCCATACAGCCAAGTAGTGGTTTTTTATTTTGTTTTTTGCATCTAATAGCTTTACTATATGGTCCATTAGATACAACTATACAAGATAACAAGGCACCAGAAGATTTCATGTTCCCACATCAATCATAAGATTGGTCTTTTTTAAATTCACAGTACAAACATCTAATCCGAACTAAAAAAAATGATTAAAAGTAGTTACAGTTTAAGCTGAAAAGAATTTAACAGCTACCTCAAAACAAAATCATTTTCTAGTAATCAACCTAAAACTGTTTGGGTCATTTTTTCAAATTTAGAAGTTTCGATTCCCATATCAAAAGTCAACTATTTCTATGAGATGGTGAAGTGCTTGGTAGCCAAAAGGTTTCAAAGGGAAAAGATGGCATGTATTAAGATGTCTACAAACATTCAAGCAAACAACTTTTCCGATAATTGGATACCCCTAACAGGATGACAAGAAAAGAATTAAAGAACTCTGCAATTGGACAACAGCACAAGACAACAAAAATATACAAGCTAGAAGCCTAGAACCAACATTGAACTGACAAAGCAAAAAATTTTCACATTTGTTTTTGAAATGCAAAACAAATGGAATGTCTATTTGAGAGAATAAATACATGTGCACCTCCAAGAAGAGAACATTCTTACACCATTTGCAAGAAGGGGTCATGATGGCTCACCATATAAGCATGTTGGGTGACCCCAAACATGCCTATAAAAATAAATGGCCCATATTGAACAATATTATGATTCGATGTAGTCAATGCTTCCTACTGTGGAGGAGTTTTCTTCATGCCACAAGAATCAAAGTTGAACTCAACAAATGCTTACCATGGCCCTCTCTTATTCTTCATCAGCTTCCTTGCGACAACATCCATAACAAGTGCTCTCTTTGTCTCTCTTTAATAACCATTACTTAACCTTTGACTTTAGGGTGCACCATGCACCTAAACTACACCAAATATTTATAAAGATTTTTTTCACTTTCAGTTCCCAATCCCTAGAGCCACCCTCCACCTCTAAACAAGGCAGGACATAACACCTAGTGCATGGTCTTACAAAAGTTCCAAATTATTTTTCCAACAACTTGCATGAGAACGTAGTTGTCAATGATGAAATCTCCCTTCAGTGAATGATTAATCATCTTGAATCACAAGATTCACGTTAACTTTTAGATTGATTGTAACTATGCTTAAGCAACTGTAAATACACATAATCCTAAGGCTGATTCGACTCCCACCTTGACTGCTTCAGCGTCTTTGCTTGTCAAAACATTAATTTAGGTGGTTACTATATGGTTATTAACAATAACAGCCTTCAGTTTACTTTTGTTTGATTAAAGAAAGTTCTAAGTTGCTACAATAGATAGTTGAATTTTCTTCTTTTCTAAAAAGATATGAACATAAAGAACATAAAGTACGTAAAAAGACCTGACAGCAGATTACAAACAGTGGAATTTCTCTGGGTGTTGAGATTGGAAACCCTCATAGATTCACAAGAAAGAAAGGGAAGTAGTGATGGAAGAATAAAAATTAGTGAATCTTTTAGTTTATTTCAAACACCACAAGGCTGGTATATGACAATTAAAATCCCTAAAGTAAGGATGGAAAAAAATTCGCGTGCCCGACAGGGGACCTGATATCCGAACTTGGTTTGACTGGGGCTGTGGAAGGGGTCCACAAGGATGGGGTATCCCCAAATTTATAAACCGGGGATGGGGATACCCCCTCCTCGACACCAACCTTGAGTATTGTAATTGATATACTTGTGTTTGAACTAGAATGCATCAACTAAAATTAGGTTGATTAAAGTTTTAGCATGTTATGTCGATTAAACATGAAATCGGCATTTATATGTATATCCATACATGTGAAGGATCGTGTGAGAAGTGAGAAGGAGAGTTAGGGTGAGAAGCGTAAGAAGGGATCTAGACCCTTGATCACCTTTAATCTCAAACCTACCCATGAATCGCACTTGATACGGGGAATGATTCGGTGCATCTCGGTGCATCTCATCCTAACCTGCATCCAAAAGTGGCGATCCTTTCTTACGCTTCTCACCTTAACCCTTCTTCCCACCGGAACCCAACCTCTATCTATATATACACAAATATTATGCAAAAATTAAAAGTGTAGACTGGAAAATATCCCCAATTCCCCGATGGAGATATGGATATCCGGGACGGAATCATATTCTCCGACAGGGACAGGGAAGGGAATGGAAACCGAGGATCAGGATTGGGGTCCCCAGTAAACCCCAACCCCATTGCCATCTCTATCCTCAAAGGAGTTACAAGCATCATAACATAACAAAAACCCCCCAAAGGACACAAAATTGGAAAAGGATCTAGGGTAAAATGCCTACCACCTACTCAGTAAATCTCCAAGAATTGTTCATATGATTTGGTTCAATTTGCTAAAGAAAAGCAATTAACATATACAAGGATGATTGAGACAAGATTCCTAGTTGACATTTGTTTCATTAATCCAACTAAATTGCACAAGTATCATAAGCCGAACAACTTGGCCAAAATCACATCAGAAGTTGTTGATCCCTTCCTCCTTGTCAAGACTTGAAAACATAGGTTACAACACTGCATAAATGGTTTGACTCCTCACTAGTCAAAAAAGAAAACTAAGAAAAAAGCTAGTGAAGATAATGTCATTTAAACTCAATGTTAAAACAAACAAAAGTCCAAAAGACACTTTCCACAACCTATCAACCTAATAAATCATCCCTCTTTAGATCTTAGAAAGCAAACAAAAAACAATATAGAACAAAACAAAGAAAAGAAGAAGAACAACGGCTTACTTTAGAGTGAGGTTAACTGGAATTAGCTAAATTCTACAAATTTACCAATGTCCACTAGTATCAATATTCTTTGTGATAGAAAGATCACGTATTCGAGTCGGACTCGGAGGTAGTTTATCAACAGCAAATTCTACAAACTTTCCCTTCCAACATTCATAAGCTAGATAACATAATAAGAAAAGATTCCACAGCTCCATCATCAATCATTTGATACGTCTTAAAGGACACTCATCCAAATACCTAATCAACCAAGAATATTCACTAAATGTCTTGATACAAATAACAAAATGAACCTTATTTATATGATATTCACATGAAACATCCAACTCCTACTTCCAGGATAAGGAACTAACAAAAAAAGCAAAAAACTCCCAATCATAAATTCATAATTAGATTTTCAAATAACAAAATCTTGAAAATTAATGTGCATACTTCTGAACCCAAATATTGAAACTTCACAAGCCTTGTAAAAGTAATGAGAAAAAGACAGAAAGGGAAAAAAAATCAAAGGCTCTGAATAGACAGAACCAACTACAATTACATCATACTCCTTTCGTCACCAAAAAGAAGTCAGTTGAATTATATGTTCCAAAAGCGTTACCCTTATAGTTGATAACTAATTTTTTTGTTTCAAGTTCATTTTACCTAACCAGAATCATGACAACTGGAACACTTTGGAGTTACCATGCCAAAACTCATTCGCCAATTTTTAGATTTAAGAAGTAGAAGGATGGACTTCCAAACTCAGAACTCTCTCTTTTAGGAGCCGGGGCGAAAAGTTTACAGGAGAGAGGTTTGAAAAATGAAGAAAAATGGCGTCAACTAAGCTACTCAGCAAGCCAAACAAACATTAAAGCAAACAACTCAATTTTGGGTAATCTGGGAAACCCTAGAAACGATTGCTCAAATATAAACGGAATTAGGGTAACCAAAATTGGACAACAAAAAGAATAGGGGAAAACACAACCTACAATCAGTAGCAAACTAAACAAGTCTTTTTACCTGTTCTTGTTAAACTCGAAACGATTTCATTGGAAATTTGGAAGAATGAGAGCGAATACTGACAGCAGGCGAAGTGTGTGCGCCCCCCCCTGGAAAATATGATTTTTGCCCTTCAGGAACAAAAACGGTCAATGGGGAATGGGATTTGGGAATTGGGAGGCAGGTTTGGATGGGCTGGACCAACACAACAGGCCCATATATAAGTGTGGGCTAGCCCAACAGGCCCATGAAAAACTGCTCAATGGGCCCAATTTCTACACCAGATCCAATGGCTAGCCCTTGTTGTACATTACTATAAAAGTGCAGTGATGGCCAAAAACCGCTCCCGAGCCTCAACAGTGCCGATCATAACTGATCACGGTGTAACCAGAACAAGTCGAAAAAACTAAGCCCGGTTAACCTGTCCTATAACCGGTTATGGGTAACCGGTCCAATCTCAACTGGTCCCAACCAAAAAAATATTTAAAAAAAACTAATGATATATTTTTTTGAATACATTATAAATTTTGTGATTAAGTCACTCAAATACACTTTAAAAACGCATTTTATTATAATTAAAATTACATTCAAACATTCAATTATTTGAAAATCCATTTATTCATCATTGGTATCTCATGTCGGATTGATTTGAAGAGTTCCGGTCTCTTGAATTTTTCTAATAGCTTCTTGGTCATCAAGGTCATCAATGTCGAATTCCTCATCATCATTATATTGTGAGTAAGTGCCCTCGATATCGATAGTTGGCGGCGTGCTTAGTCCCATGGCGATTTCATTTTCTTCTAAATTTTCTTCCACCGCTTCAATCTCCACCTCTAACGATGTCGTATGTTGAATATATCAACACTATCCAAGTACTCCTTCAAACAAATGCAACACTCCACGGACTCCGGGGTTAGTCTTGTCTGACGTATGGAAAATGATCCTGCCACTAAGAGAAAAAACGGACTCCGAAGTTACGGTACTAGCTTGGATTGTTAGTATATCACGTGTCATGCATGCCAAAACCGGGAATTGAGGTTGCTTTTGTTGGTCCCTTGAGGGTTTACAGGATAAGTAAACAGTTTATAGAAGGGGGGGATGAATACAAACACATATTTTCAAATTTAAAATGTATATTGATAAAGAAGATCAATACAAATTTTACAAGACTGTTTGCGGAAAGATAAGGTAAGAAAACATATCTAAACAATCTTTGGCTACACACGAATTCTTAGCAAATGAGAAAAGAAATGTTGTAAAGAAAAGTTCTTTTACTTAAGCTCGAAAGTGCTCAAAGTAAGAATTAGGTTTAGAGAGTGAGTTGCGCGCACTCTGTATGGAGAAGAAATACTTCTATTTATACCCAATGCATTAAATGTTCATTTAATGCAATATGGTAGGGTTAGAGTGTATGTCAAGCCTTAAGAGGAAGGTTTGTCCTTTGCTACAGTGAATAGTACAAAAAGCACTATTAATGAGCAGACATCCTTACCTAAAGTTGGTGGGCAATAGAGTCAACTAGTCGTCTCCGTACCGTACCAACATTTAGAAGGGTATGGGTTTATCCTTTGTGTGCATAAAGACAAGACAACAACAATCGTGCTAAGCAAGCTTTCTTTGATCATTGAATGCTGGAATAACCTGGATGTCTCTTCAGCATTCGCTGAGGTTTGAGCATTCTTCACACATATGTAGACATGTTTGTAATCATTGAGTACCGCTTCAGATCACGTACTTACCAGTCTCTAATCTTCAGTTTCAGTCTTCGACTTTGGCTGAAGGTTCTTTGGTGTGAGTGTTGTCTTCTTGTAGTATCGCTATCTCTGATTGAATTACAATACAAGTTCTTCAGCGATCATTGAACAGGTTCAGTGATGATCGTTGGAACTGAAAAGACAGAAACATAAATACAACGTATAAGTGARAAGGGATTATCATCAAATCACTGAGAGAGATGATCAACAATCTCCCCCTATTTGATGATAACAAGACAACATTACATGGCTGTTTTTGAGTTTTTGATAGTTTTTGATCTATTTTTTATGTTTAGACTGTTTAAGTGGTGTTAAATCGATCAATATTACATGGCTCATTTGGTTTAGGCCCAATCAGTGTTAAAGCCCATTCTCAGTCTTTCATTATACAGATTCATACGAAGTATTCATCGCAAGAGTTCACCAGTCTTCATCGCAGGCTAAATCGCACATCATTTCAGCGGATAAGTGACCGGATTCTTAATCGCTTACTGATTTCATTTGGTTCTTGATTTTCGGATACAGACTCTGAGTGGACGAGGGTTTTCACAGGTAAGTAAGTCATCCTAAATCTCACAGGTTTGAGTTTATTCGTGAACGGATTTTGAGCGATTTAGACTCAAAGGTAGCATAGTTTGAGCGAATTCATATACGATCAATAAGGAATATAGTCTTGAGCGGATTAATCTGTTTGATGAGAGGATAAGGAGGTTAACCTTGAGCGTATTCGGTCATCTCTTAACCAGACTATTGAGCGATTTAACTTTCTTCTTGAGCGAATTCGGTCAATGAGAGGAACTAGTGCTGAGCGATTTCTTGACCGATTTAGGAACATGAGCGATTTAGGATTAGCTTGAGCGGATAATTGAGCGATTTAGGTCATAAGTGTGAGCGATTTAAAGACAGCCTTGTGCGATTTAATTTCTGTGTTGTGCGATTTAAGCGAGAGAGTTGAGCGATTTAGGACTTAGCATTTTGTGCATCGAAGTATCCGGTTTAATAAATCGTTCAATCCATCTCACCAGATTCTTTATCGCTCACTGTTTTTTGATCTAATTTGGTAAATTGCTCAGGTAAATCGTTCTGTGTTTGAGTATCTGTTTGTGTAAATTGCATAGAGTGTTCAAGTTTTGATGTAATTTGACCTAATTTGAATTTGTCATATCATCTGTTTCATTGTTTTCGTTTTTGGTCAATTTGCTCGTTTACAGAATAGTGATCGATTTTTGATTTGATTTGAAGAACTGTATAAATCACAGACCATCTTTCTTGTTCAATATATTTTAAATCATCATTCAATTGGAGCTGGTTTATACCCTGATTCTGGTTCAAGGGCTGTGGATGGCTAAAGAGATGATCTAGAACCAGATTGAACATTATAGGAATTACCATTACAGGGAAGTATTTGTTGATGGTGGTACGCCTATAATTGATTTCAAACAAAAGGATCGCTTGGTAGATAATTCTGTTGGTTCTAAAATGGTGGAGCTCAAATTTGAAGTCTGGTTGATTTGAAGATTTGGGTACTAATGGTTGATTGCTGATCACATCACTCAGGTTCTATTTTAAGGACTTGTTATCAAATCTGTGTTTCTGTGGAGCAGTTTGATTTCACATATCCATCCATTCATTTCTCTTAAAAGATTCATTGCTTTTAACTGTCATTAGTGAGCTTTTGATAGAGAAAGGGATGGATTAAGCTTAGTGTAGTGAACATTTTTTAAAACAGTCTTGAGCAGCTTAGTCTTGTGCTGTCTTGATCGATTTAAAATCATAGCATAAACAGTCTAATATCATGCTGTGAGTTTTTAACAGACTTGAGCTGATTTCATTCTATATATTGATGTGAGTGTTTGAGTGAGCAGGATTCAAGCTGTTCTTCAAAGGTGCTTGCTGTCATAACACACAAGTGCTCAGATGTCCAAGCGGTTTAGTTAGATAGTATTGAGTAATTTGAATCTCAAGCTGAGAAGTGAGTTGTTTGAGTGATTTTCTTGGCCAAGCAGTGAGCATTTTGACAGGATAGAAGCTGTTTGTTTCGTTTGCAGTCTTGACCAAGTTAAAACAAACTTGAGTGGCTGTTTGAGGTCTGTGACTGTATGTATTTCCTGTTGTGATTGCACAGAAGGTAAGGACTATCAACCTGTTTAACAGCTTGTCCATATTAGCTGTTGTTTTATTGCAAGCAGACTGTTTTAGCATTCATTTACTGTTATTTTTTGAGCAGACTAAAATCAGACCTTGAACGATTTACTGTTGTTTGTGTAGCGGACTGTGCTTTGAGCAACTTCTGTTTAGTGAGCAGATTAGTGAGTTGTTTGTTAACCGGATAAGCAGTTGTTGAATCATTTGAAAGTGTTGATCCTCTCTCTCTGTGATTTGATGATAATCCCTTTTTCCTTCACGTTGTATTTGTGTTTCTGTATTTTCAGTTCCAG